ACTCAGTTCGAGGTTCACATGGCCTGGCTGTTAGTGCCTGTGGGAGGCTTGCCTTATGGAAAGACCAGCACGTCACCCTGACTTTCAGTAATGGAAGCTGGATGATACATACCGAGTAAGCATCTTGCTTTCCAGTCCTCAGTCCCCTGACCCTCTGTGCCTGTCATCTCAGTCTTTTAATCTCTGGAAGCATAATTAATCTATTTTTAGTGTCCAACTAAATGATCCGTTTCTGGTGCTAGGCTTGAGGTGGATTCTGCCTTTGCTGTTTTTCACAGAAGTAAAGATGTATGCTCACCCTCTGCTAGTCTAGAGAAACCTATGTCAAATGGCAACCTTTATAACCTCTCGCATGCCAAGCGCACTGGTAATGCACTACCTTCCTAGGGTGGGAGATGAGTCAGGGGAGAAAAAAATCAAGTCACAAAGGAGAAGGGCCTCCATGTGACTGGATGAGCTTTTCATTGCGTCTCATTGGAGATGAGACAACAAACAAACACAAACAAAACCTGAAATAAGTATAGACCTTTTTAAGTTTTTTTTTTTTTACTCTGATAAAATACTTGTTTGATTTTTTGCCTTTTCTAAAAGTTACTTATAATTAATAACAGTCCTGATTTAAGATTATGAACGTTTCCAGTAAGCTTGAGGTTTGGCGGAGCTGCATCCTTACTAGACAGGCACACTGCGTAAGCGAGGAGCGGACCCAGCCAGTGGATGACAAGCCCGGCACGCCGACCAGCGGAGGAGTCTATCAGAATAGCCAAAATGACCACACGGCAGGAGCATGGGAGATCCAGGCCATTAAGCATGGAAAATAAGGGGACTCTGGAGCTTTGCTTTCAGAGTGTGACCCAAGGACCTAGGGGCTTGTCAGAGATGCAGACCACAGGGGTTGCCTGGAATCCACTGACTTGGGATTCCTGTGTGCATTCAAGTTGGTGAAGCCCTGGTCTGGATTTGACAGTCAGCTCTTCCCTTTACTATTGGCCAAACTGACCCTATCATTCTTTTGCTAAAATCCTTCGGTTTCCTCTTTAGTCTTAGGTCACGGTCATGACCAAAATCCTAGGCATGGTCTTCTGGGTGAGCTGGGTCTCTGGGCCCTCCCTGTCACTGACTGCCGTCCACAGGGGCCACCTTGCCTCGGGGCCTTTGCAGCTCTCCCTTCTGTGTTAGTTGCTCAGGGCTGCCATAACAGATGGTTTTCACACAACAGAAATGTATTCCATCACAATTCTGGAGGCCGGAAGTCTCAGATCGAGGCATCAGTAGGGCCCTGCTCTGCCTCACGGCTCTCAGGAGAATCCTTCCTTGCCCGTTCCAGCTTCCGCGCATGGCGGGCTGTAGCAGCCTCACTGCAGTCTCTGCCTTGGGCTTCATGTGCCCATCCTCCCTGTGTCTGCGTCTTCACGCAGCATTCTTCTGTGTGTCCGTGTCCACACTTCCCTCTTCTTATGAGGACATCCGGCTCCTGCGAGCTACTGGTCACAATATTTTGTCAGCTGATCATTGTATATAACCTTGTCTTACGTGTTTCTGTTTGAAGATACCCTCTGTAATATTTACTGTTGATTGATTAGCACTGAACTCACAGCACTATAATGCATGCCTGAGAAAGCTTATCTAACATACATATTTTCCCTGTAAGGCACATCATAGCCTTCTGGTTCTTAGGAACCCGGGAAGGCATTTCAGCACAATGCCTGGGGGCCATTTGAAACAACAAAGTCACCAACAAAAAGCACAAAGATGCAAAAATGTCGCACTCCGTAGCCTGTGAAAAGGACACTTGTTTGCCATAGGAGAGCAAGAGCAGGAAGGCAGAGTGTGGCCTTGTCCAGCTTCAGCTGGGAACACGTGCGTCAGATGACTTGAATTCAGCACACGTCCGCAAGTGACCACAAACGCACCAAGTATTGATTTGGGGGTTGCGGAGATGTTTTAGTGAGTAGGCAAATTCACAGATACAGAATCTGCGAACGGCGTGGATCAAATGTGTCTTCACACGCAGGCTTTAGTTTTAAAGACAGAAAGTTGGGTTTTTTGTCTTGGTGCTTTGCTTTACCTGACAATTGACTTTTCAAGTACTGTTTCTGTTTCAAACTGATCTTCATTGTCTTTCAGAGAGATTCTCGTCTGTGTGAACTTTGAAAGCCATCACTAACATGAGAACAGGAACCGCCGTGGGCTGGTGGGGCACCTGAGAGGAACCATACCATATGGCTTTTTGAACTATTTCAGATGGGACTTCTCCCCCACCCCCCGCCCCCCACCCAACTGGGTTATTTGTGAGAAAGATAATGGAGGAAATATGATATTATTCTGAGTACTAGCTGGAAGCAGGGCCACTTCCACACTCCGCTCATGTTTCCATATTGCTAGGCTCAGGCTCAGCTGCAGTGCCAGGGACCACACACAGCGCTTCTGCACATCAGGCTGCCAGGAGAACTGGCATCTGTTGCTCTCCACTCGTGACCACTGTACCTACCCCTATCCTGTAACTACTCTTCCCTCGCTCTTCCCTCTACTTTCTTGACTGCTCTGGATTTAGTGGTCTCCAATCTGTGTCTTGAGGTCTTTTCCAGAGGGAGGATCAGGCTGGGCTGGTGGTCACCACCCTGGCGGGCAGAGCCCTCGCAGGGTAAGCCTCTGAGGGGTCGCCAGTGCACCTCTCTGTGCACAGCTTTCCCCAGCACTCCCCAGACTTTTCTGAAACTCTTTATCATCTGGTAGCCAGGAGTCTTCGTGGAGCATGGTACCTCCCTTCTTTCCAGTGTCCTGTTAGATCGGGAGTTCCTAGACGGTAGGGAATATCATCTTTCCCTATTCTGGAGCATCATTCTCAATACATGATCTTTGAATGAGTGGGTGAACAAATGAGTGAATGGAACAAATGAATGAATGAGACCAAGAGCAGCAGTATCTGCAACTCCTTGCGGCCATTCCATGTCCTCGTGAAATGTCTCTAAGGTTCCTGTTTGTGTCTCAAAGATTGGTGGCTGGAGCCTCCATATGAGTGGATGAGGCCAGCCTCTGACGGCACCCCACCTAGGCTGTCAGAGCGATCTTCAGAGCTGGCCTGGGCCTTGTAGTGAGTGTTTCCTGTGGCAACATTTGGGCTTTGTAGGACTAGTAAAAGACCTAGAAGAAGGCGGAGCATGGGAGCTCATGTCTGTAATCTCAGCACTTTGGGAGGCCAAGGTGGGAGAATTGCTTGAGCCCAGGAGTTGAGACCCCATCTCTACAAACATTTAAAAATAATTAGCTGGGCGTGGTGGCTCACACCTGTGGTCCCAGCTGCTCGGGAGGCTGAGGTGGGAAAATCGCTTGAACCCAGGAGGTTGAGGCTGCAGTGAGCCGTGATCATGCCACTGCACTCCCATCCGGGTGACAGAGTGAGACCCAGCCTTCAGAACAAAAGAAGGTGATGCTCTTGCTATGTAGAACTTAAATTTGGTTAGGAAAAGAGAGTGGAGTGTACACAGCTGAGAAGCGTATAGGTAAAGCAAGGGATAAGATGAAAGACTTCACTTAAAACAACTGCCCTAAAGCAATGTTTGATTTTTCAGAGGAGCAGTGTAGGATTAGCGAGTATCGTAGGAGCTGGAGGCAGAGGGACTGCTTTAGGTGGGAGTGGTCTCGGAAGCCCCTGTGGAGGAGGAGGCTGGGTCTTAGAGGGCGGATAAGGACCTGCAAGGCCAGGGAATGAAGAGCAGAGGGCATGGGATGAGCACGGAGCAGGAGGTGTCTGCAGTATTCAGTGGGCCCGACTGCGGGAGGCGTACAAGGAAAAGGCTGTGGACTCCTGCAGGCCCGGGGTGAGGCCGGGGGGGTCATGGAAGGATCCTTGTAACTCTGGCATGTTCAGGGCACAGGGAATAGAGGAGAGAGGAAGTTCGTGGCAAGCTGGAGAGTTATTGAGACATCAGCCCAAATGCCAATGAATAGAATTTTCAGAGCTCAGTTTTGGAGGAAATGAACCAAAGAAGGAAGGGACGCATCAGGATTGAGAAGAGGATTACAGTGTCACACTGTCCGTGAGGTCCTATAGAACGGAGGCTTGCACCGGAACCGTCTTCACTTTTGGACCCCAGATTAGAAGTAAATGCAGGCATAGATAGGATGAAGATGGGTGGGGGACAGTGTGGAAGGTACTTTGTTAGTGATTCCCCTCTGGATCTATTCCGATGGACAAGGGGAAGTCTATCTTAGAAAGGCATCTGGAAGCAGCGGGGGGCATTGTGTGGACTGGCGGAGGAATGGCGGTCAGACTAGGAGAATGATTTTCAAAGGGAAAGTAAGTTAAAGGAAAAGGGGGTGATGTCAGGTCAGAGGAGAGGCTGGCATTGAAGAAAGACACTTGGGTGAGAGATTGCACTCAGGTAAAAGCAAAACCAAAGGAGATACCTGTGCAGGGTGCCGGGGGCTCTGGAAATAAAGTCGGGAGGGACGGGTAATTGGAAAACTTTGGGAAAGCCAAATTAACTGATTCCTTTCAAGCTTTAAATGTTAATATTGGGGGTTGAAAGCGTTTGTATAACCCAGATTCTCAAAAGGAATGGCTTGACTGTCAGTGCTTTCCCACAACTGCTTTGCTCTGCCCACCCCGGCTCTTGGAAGGATAATCCCCAAAGGCATTGGGGCCTCCGAGCAACTGAAGCCTCAAAATATGGCCAGGGTAGTGGGGATAAAGCCCCCCTCGAGGCAAAGTCCCGGGGAGGAGTGCCGGTCCTCGTCTCCAATGTCCATAGGACCTTCCCAGTGGAGGGCAGGCCGGGACCATCCTGTGTCCCCTGGTAGCCTCCTGGCCAGCACGAGGGCTGGGCTTGCACAGGTGGCTCTAGGACACAGCCCTTGAGTACACCAACCCCCCAGTTTGCCAGTCCCCACCCCCAGGAAAGGAGAGAAGGAAAGGGTCAGGCGGGGTGTAGAACTCTGCAGCGCGGACACCACAATGAGTGGCACCAATGCCTGACGCTGTGTTTCTCTCCCGCAAGGGCACCATGCCGGTGGAAAGGATGCGCATGCGCCCGTGGCTGGAGGAGCAGATAAACTCCAACACGATCCCAGGGCTCAAGTGGCTTAACAAGGTGAGTGGATCAGGATGGGTGTATGTGTGAGAGAGGTCCTGGCTGAAGCACGCCCAAGCAGACTGCCGAAAGTAAAATTGTTTGTATTCAAAATCTTAGGCTCATTCATGACAAAAAACAGCCAATGCAAAATGATCATAAAACATCAAGTTATCATCTCAAAGGCTTTTTTTCTTTTAGAGACAGGGTCTCACTATATTGCCCACGCTGGAGTGCAGTGGTGCGATTGCGACTCACTGCAGCCTCGACCTCTTGGGTTTGAGTCATCCTCCCACCTCAGCCTCCAGAGTAGCTGGAACTACAGGTAAACGCCACCACAGCTGGCTAATTTTTGTATTTTTTTTTTGTAGAGCTGAGGTCTCACCATGTTGCCCAGGATGGTCTTGAACTCCTGGGCTGAAGTGATCCTCCCACTTCAGCCTCCCAAAGTGTGGGGATTACAGGCATGAGCCACTGAACCCGTTCGCAAAAGGATTTGTATCCTCTCCGACTATAGCCTCAGCCTGGAGTCTCCAGTGTCTGCTCACCTTTGGTGTCTTGGCTGACTGCCTATGGAAAGCTCCTTGCTGTGTTGTTCTTTGAGGATTCTTACCCTCTTCCTTCTCCAAATTCCTTTTTTTTGCTTCTCCTGGCCTTTTAGGACTAGAGGACATGGAAACTCCAGGGTTTTATATTAGGAATGGAGCATTTCCTTTTCAATGGTCTCTATTTAAAGAAAGCTTGTTTTTGTCTTTAAGAAAAAACCGTCTTTTTACCTCTGTAATGAAGCCCATCTGTGTGCCCACCTTTCCTGAAAAAGCAGCCAGTCCTTTACAACCTGCCCCTTCCATGCACAAACCCTCCCTTACTTTGCTAACCTAAACACTCTGAATTTAATTGATCCTAGCTATTAGGGGTGAATCAGAAAGAGATAATGTAGGTAAAAATGAAAAACTTCTAGAACTATATAATCTAGAAAAACAACTAAATATATATCATGCCTTCTTTAAGGAGGCCCAGGAGAGAAGTTCCTCTCCTACCAGGGACACTTCTGAGTAAATGCCTTTTTCCTCTTCTCCACTCCCTCCCCTTTTCCTTTTTAATCTTAAGGACACAATGAATAATTTAGCTGGCCAGGCTTTATCTTTGTATCAGGTGCAAGAGCTTAGAGCCAGATTGCAGTTTGTAGCTTGCTTCCAACAAGGGAACAGGATATTGCAGTGTAATTTTTTTTAACTAATATCATTCCTGGCCTGATTGGGTCTTTTCAGATCTCTTTTAAATCTTATTTCTTTTTGTCCTTTTCCTTTTATCCACTTATTTAGATTTTTTTTTTTTTTCCTTTAAACAAGGTCTCCCTCTGTCGCCTAGGCTGGAGTGCAGTGGCACGATCTCAGCTCACTGTAACCTCTGCCTCCGGGCTCAAGCAGTCCTCCCACCTTTGTCTCCCAAGTAGCTGGGACCACAGGTGCACTCCTGGATAATTTTTGAATTTTTTTTGTAGAGATGGGGTTTCACTATGTTGCCCAGACTGGTCTGGAACTCCAGGACTCAAGTGATCTGCCTGCCTTGGCCTTCCGAAGTGCTGGGATTACAGGCATGAGCCACAGTGCCCAGCCTTATTTTGAATTTAATGTTACTGTGTTGAATAGCTCTGTTTGAGCCTTTCTGAAACAAGGTGGGGCACTAAGTAAATAGAAATGAAGAAACCATATGCTTATTCCCTGTGACCTGTCACATATCTCAAGGTCTTAACGCAAACAATGGATTTTTCTAGGGTTGCTGTATCTATAGTGTTTTAGATTTACATATGTAATCAGCTTCTTCCAAAGAAACAAACAAGAAATAGAGGAGCTCCTTGGTCAGCTCAGTTAGCAGGGGTGCCATGGGGGTATAAGGAAGGGGGGACCAGAGTAAAGGGGAGCTGGAGAGCCAGGGTAGCAAATGACACTGAATGAAAGCTGACGAGTACTCAGCACTTACTGTGTGCCAGGCACCCTTCTAAGCAAGGTACATGCATTACTTACCTTCTGCCATCATGGGGTAGGTACAGTTAATATTTTCCATTTTACAGACAAGGAAACCGAGGCACAGAGAGGTTAGGTAGGATTCTGTCTTGAGGAACAGGTAGCATCACTGTTTGATGTGGAGTGGAAGAGGAAAGCCTAATGTTCCTGTGTTCTAAAGAGAAGTAAGTTGTCTGTTTTTGCTTTTCCTTTTTTAAAATTACCTCCACCAGTTTTGGTTGGCTTGATGCAGTAGAGAACAGACAGTGTCTCACACCAATCGTGTTGAGCAGGTGCCTGGTATGTTGACCTCTGTGATTGGTTTAGACTAACCATTAGTGCCTTCTTGGTGCGGTAGTGGATGGAACTCTGGCTCCCCGAGAAGATATGTCCACATCCTCACCCCCAGAATCTGTGGATGTCACCTCATTTGGAAAAAGGGTTTTTGCAGATAGGGTGAAAGACCTTGACATGAGATCATCCTGGATTTTCTGGGTGGGCCCTAACTCCAATGAGGAGTGCCTTTATAACACACGGAGGAGGAGAAGGCACGCACAGAGGAGAGGGGCGTGTGAGGACTGAGGCAGAGACTGGAAATAGGCAGCCACAGCTGAAGGAATCCAAAAAGAGGCGAGGAAGGAATCTTCCCAGAGCCTCTGAAAGGAGTGAGCCCTGGCTGGGCGCGGTGGCTCACGCCTGTAATCCCAGCACTTTGGGAGGCCGAGGTGGGCAGATCACCTGAGGTCAGGAGTTTGAGACCAGCCTGACCAACATGGTGGAACTCCATCTCTACAAACACAAAATTAGCTGGGTGTGGTGGGGGGTGCGTATAATCCCAGCTACTTGGGAGGCTGAGGCAAGAGAATCGCTTGAACCCAGGCGGCTGAGGTTGCAGTGAGCTGAGATTGCGCCACTGCACTCCAATCTGGGCAACAGAGCAAGACTCCGTCTCAAAAATAAATAAATAAATAAATAAAAGGAGTGAGCCCTGCAGACACCTTGATTTTGGACTTCTGGCCTTCAGGACTGTGATGGAATACAGTGCTGCTGCTGTAAGCCACCCATTTTGTGTAATTTTTCACGACAGTCTTAGGAGATTGATGCACCCTCTAAGGGTCACCTCCTTACTGGGACTCTCAGTTGAGATGCCTTCTCTTCCATCTATTTTGTCCGTGTTTTTCTGGTACAGGACCAGAAGGCAAATGGATTTCTCTTTGTGCAAATGAACACTTGGCCCCTTTCAGGCAGCCCTTCCCTGCGGAGCGTCGCTCATCTGACTCTTGGCTCGAGAGTTCTCTTCCTGAGGCAGGGAAGGAAAGGAGACCTCTGTCATCTCACTGGGCTCCTCCGCTAGAGCTGGACGTGAGCCAGGCTGATGAAGAAGAGCGTGCCCGTGGCTGTTGGCCCGTGCCGCCTCTCAGCACCGCCCTGGCACAGAGGCCAAGGCCTGCACTGTGGCCCCGAGGCCCTGTCAAGCTGCATCCTGCTGAGGCCTAGCCAGAGTGGGCACGTGTGCTGCTCGTGCACATGGGCACTGCCATCACTGTCACTGCAGACCTCGGCTGGGGTCAGGATCTCTTCTCTCCATACCTACACTCCCACGGGGCGTCTTTTTATAGGTTTCCGCTAACTTAGGCTTGTTGGCATTCATCCGTCCATATAAATACTTAACGGAGGGCCTAATGTTCTTCCCTCCCATTCACAAGCATTCTGCCTGGAAATCCTTGTTTATATTTTGAGTGGTTTGAGATCATTCCAAGATACCTTTTGCCACTGAAGACTGTTGTGACTGTTAGAAAACACTGTCCCTGGGGCTGTGGGACTCACTTCTGCTTCAGTCGGCATTCAAGATGTGTTCGTGTTTACCGTGAAGTGCTCCAGGCTGGAAGCCCCATGCACTGGTGCCTTGGCCGTCTTTATCGTGTCTGCGTGCTCAGGGCCAGGCCTAGTGCCTGGTAAGTGGGAGGCCTTCTGTCAAAATTGTTCTGGGAATACGCAGATGAATGTCGTGGTCTTGAAGGGGAGCAACGTTGGTGGTATTTTTGTTCTGTTAAGATAATCAGATTTATGGACACTGGGTTGGCAGTTGTCACATGGCTCTCAGAAAGTCCATTCAACCTACTCCATTTTTAGTACGAGAGAAAGAGTTGGTTCGTTAACGCCTTACGTTTGTTTCCATCCCCTATTGTCTTAGTCTGTTCCCTGTTGCTTATAACAGAATACCTGACTCTGGATAGTTTGTAAAGAAAAGGAATTTATTTCTTACAGTTATGGAGGCTGAGAAGTCCAAGGTTGAGGGGCTGCATCTGGTTGAGGGCCTTCTTGCTGGTGGGGACCCTCTGCAGAGTCCTGAGGCAGTGCAGGATATCACCTGGTGTGGGGGACGAGTGTGCGAACACAGGTCTCTCTTCCCCTTAAAAAGCCACAATCCTACCCCCATGACAGCTCATTAATCCATTAATCCCTGAATGGATTAATCCATTCATGAGGGCAGGGCCCTCGTGACTCAATCACCTCTTAAAGGCCCCACCTCTCAGTCATGCCACATGGGGGATTAAATGTCAATATAAGTTTCGTAGGGAGCAAATATTCAAACCATAGCACCTACTTTTAATAAGTTTGAAGGAGGGTGGGAATGGAATGGGTCCCTTGGATTCCTCTGAAGGAACAGCGAGGAAGTTTGGAAAAGTGCGTTATAACCAGCTTATGAATGAGGCCTTGGCTGGGCCATTTGCCTTTGGTTATAGGTATTTGCAAATGTGCATAGCATATTTGAGTAGCCCAATGACCAAAAAAAAAAAAAAAAAAAAATAGGATAGCAAATTTTCATATGCCTGCATCTAGATGTATGAATATTTTGCCTTTGTGTGTGTGTGTGTGTGTGTGTGTGTATCTGTGTGGTATTTTAAAGCAACTCCCTGACAGTGTACATTGTAAGACATAAGGACATTTTCTTATATATCCACAATATACCATTGTTAATTGGACAAAATTAATACTGTTTAATATCATCACTGCTCCATTCATATTCAAAATGCCTTGAGTATTCCCAAATAATCTTGTTACAGTTGATTTGTTCAAATCAGAATTCAAAGGCTGTCCACAGGCTGTGTTTCGTGTTTATGACTCTACGTCTCTGCTGACTGTGGGCAGTAACCTCTGTTTTTTTCCTTCTTGCCATTGACTTGTTGAGACCAGGTTAGTTTTGGGTTTGTCCACGTGCTTGCTTGTGGTTCCCTGGGCCATTTCTTGAGGAAGGAAGGAGGCAGCCACATCCAGGGTCCCAGTTTCTCTCACAGCTCCGTGTGACCCCCAACACTGGTGGGGTTATTGATTTCTTATTTCCTGGGGGAGATCCTCCTGGATCCATGCACTAAGGCAGGGGAATCATCAGACCTTTCCCTTTTTTTCACTTTGAAAGTAGACTTGTGTTTGTGTAAACATCAGGCTGTCTCTGACTGAGGTAAGGAGTCCAAACAAAAATAGCACAGTAATTGGAACATCTTGCAAATGCTGGGGGGAAGAAGAGGCAGAGGAGATAACAGAACTAGTTTCCATGTGGGGCCAAGGAACATTTTTGTTCTACATTGCTCAAGATAATCTCAGATGCTTTTCTGAAGTCAAGCAGTGTTCATCTCTCCTGCCTTCCTTCAGATGGGCAGAGTTCTACACACATGTACAAATGGTGGGCCCTGGCATGGGGCGTCTATCCATGCACAGCGTGTACCACCACCACATGTGCAGGACTGGTCACTCGGGGATGGGACACCTAGCACGTACTGACGTCATAGGGTCTACACACACATAGCAACACCGTCATGTCCCATGAAACACACAGCTTGTGACCAGAATGTTTGCTGGTCAGAATCTCTTTCAGTTTTAAGATGAATCTTGCTTTCTCCTACCTTTTCATATGGTCTTCTTCAAAAAAAGAATCTGTGATACGATTTTAAAGATATTTTTGATAAGTTTATTAGTCTTTTCTTTTTTTTCCTGAAATATGAAAAACTAGTGAAAAGTGACATGTAGTTTAAAAAATATGCAGCCATCACCACTGTCCAGTTCCAGAACGTTTTATCCCTCCAAAAGGAAATGCTATATCCGTTAAGCAGTCACTTCCCATTTCCCTCCCCACTAGCTTGTGGCAACCACTAATCTCCTCTCTGTCTCTATGGATTTGCCTTTTCTGGATATTTCATGTAAATGGAATCATTCAATATTTGGCCTTTTGTGTCTGGCTTCTTTCACCCAGCGTAATATTTTCAAGGTTCATCTACGTGGTAGCATGTGTCAATACTCTGTTCCTTTTTGTGGCTGAGTAATATTCCATTGTATGGATATACCACATTTTGTTTGCGCATTCGTCAGCTGATGGACACTCGGGTTGTTTCTATCTTTCGGCTTTTGTGACTAGTGCTGCTATGAGCATTTGTGTATAAGTTTTGGTTTGAATGTTGGCTTAGAATTCTTTGGGTGTATATCCAGGTGTAAAATTACTGGGTCATCAGGTAATTCTGTGTTTCACTTTCTTGAGGAATGGCCAGACTTTTTCTCCAGAGTTGGCTGCACCGTTTTGCATTTGCACAGCAATGTATGAGGATTCCAGTTTCTCCACATCCTCACCAACGTTTGTTATTTGTGTATCTGTTTTTGGAGACATGTCTATGGGTTAGTCTGTTTTGTGTTGCTATAAAGGACTACCTGGGGCTGGGTAATTTATAAAGAAAAGAGGTTTCTTTGGGTCAGGGTTCTAGGCTGTATAAGAAGCATGACCTTGGCATCTGCCTCTAATAAGGCCTCAGGATGGGAGACAAAGGGCATTACATGGCAAGAGAGGGAAGAAGAGAGAAAGGTGCAGGCGCCAGGCTCTTTTGAATAATCAGCTCTCACAGGAGCTAATGGAGCGAGAGCTTACTCATTACCATGAAAGCGACACCAAGCCATTCATGAGGGATCCTGCCCCATGACCCAAACACCACCCACCAGGCCCCACCTCCAACAGTAGCGATCACATTTTAACGCAAGATTTCGAGGGGACAAACATCCAAACTCTTCCAGTCTACTCAGGCCTGTCACACATTTCAGGAGGATCCATAGTGGGTAATTGCTAGGTTCGGTCAGCGCTTTTGTAGTTGCAAGACTTTTGCGGTTTCTGTGGGACTAGGTTTGGTTGTGTGTGTGTGTATGTGTATGCATGCATGCGTGCAGATGCTTAAAAAGATCTACTTTATCGGTATCAATTTTGTGTCTTGCAAGTTAGATTTCAGATTGTGTCACCCTAGAACTCCTTTGATCTAGAAAAAAGTGCAACAGCAAATTCTTAAGAATCTTGGTGTTTAAGCATAAAGCTTTAGATTCTGGGCTTGCACTTCAGGAAAAGTTCTTTCACTGAAATCAATTTTCACTTGTATTCATTTTCATGTGAACATCAATAAATGGCATTAAGTGATTTTGCTGTCGATTTCATCTACATTAAAGCATCAAATGTCACTCAGCCCCTTTCTGATCACTGTCTTTTGAAATTGGCTAACCTGAAGCCCTCTCTGTGGATGATACAGAATGAACACCAAGGAATTTCTGAAAGAGTCTCTCACTTTCAGTTCTCCTTTAATAACTGACTTTTTAGAAGATGGTAGAATTTTCCTTTTAACAGGTTTTGGGAAACTCTCCAATGTTCTGAAATAGTCTTAGTTCTGGCTTTGTGATTGGTTCTGTGGAGAGGTGCTGAGTCTCTTTGGGGACAGCTGGACCCTTTCTGCATGTCACTGTGTGAGACCGAAGAGGTGGAAACCCCTGCTGACATTTCCTCTCCTTCCTCAGCGTCTAGTGCGGGGACCCGCATACCTGGCAATTACCAGAACTGCCTTGAGAGCTTTAAAAGAGTACGGCCTCCTGGGCTTTAATCTACAGAATCCAGGTCTCAACCGGTCTGTCACAGGACAGGGACTCTTCCAAATCTAAAAGCTGAGAGATAATGAGTGGGTGATTAAGTAATAGTATATGGAGTTGCATGACCTGGAGTTTGAACTTAGACACTTACTACCCTGCAAGTTCCTTGACCAAATAGTTAAAATCTGCTTCTCGGTTTCTTCAGCTGTAAAATGGAAATCGTAACATATACCTCGCTCAGGAGGCTGTAGGAGGAAAACAAAGCTGAGGTCCATGTGGACGTGTAGGCAGATGCACAGTGCCAGTGGGACCTTAGTACCTGAGGTCCATGTGGACGTGTAGGCAGATGCACAGTGCCAGTGGGACCTTAGTACCTGAGTCCATGTGGATCGTGTAGGCAGATGCACAGTGCCAGTGGGACCTTAGCACCTGCCGCTACCGCCACAGGAGCTGCTTGGGCCAGGTTCCTCATCTGTAGCTTCACTCAGAAGACGGCTTTCTTAGTAAACCATGCGTTTCCAGTTTCCAATCATTTGTTTTTCAGGGTTCCTTGAGGCAGTTTTGAATTACAAACCTCAGTTACATTGAGAGAGATGTAGAGATAGTCTGATATAAGGATTGTATTGAGAGATGTTTCTCCAGAAAATGTGTCATCTCCTAACCGCTACCTCTTTGTTTGCGCTCCTTGCTATTTCCTGCAGGCGGTGGACCCGCGGGGATTCCAACATTACTTTCTATTTCTGTTGGATGTATAGGCAAATGGAGATACTCGGTTTCTGCGACAGTGGCCCAGATACACCCGACTTCTCTGTAGCAGCATCAAGGGTTTTGGAAAGTTGTCTCATTTTTAATTTACTGAAGATAGCTGGAGTTACTATTTACCAAACGATGAGAATAAATTATAAGAATAAGCATTAAAAGTTTCAGTAGGTGGCCATTTTTCTGTGGTTTTATAAAAAGAGGCACAGGGTCGGGTGTGGTGGCTCACACCTGTAATCCCAGCAGTTTGGAAGCCTGAGGTGGGCAGATCACTTGAGGTCAGGAGTTCGAGACCAGTCTGGCCAGCGTGGTGAAACCCTGTCTCTACTAAAAATACAAAAAGTGACCAGGTGTAGTGGCGCATGCCAGTAATCCTAGCTACTCAGGAGGCTGAGGTGGGAGAATCTCTTGAACCCGGGAGATGGAGGTTGTAGTGAGCCAATATCGTGCCATTGCACTCCAGCCTGGGCAACAGAGCGAGACTCTGTCTCCAAAAAGAAAATTAAAAAACAGAAAAGAGGCACAAATAATGGAACACACTGGCACATCCCAAATCATCACCTTTGACCTTGGAAAACATTCCTGCTCTGCAAGACTTCATGGGACTGACTGTCACTTGGGGTAGGCTGTCAGGATTTGGGATCCAGCGGGGGAAGTGGGTTTGGTTTACGGTAGATTTTCTTGTCAACAGTCAACACATTCAGTGATGCTTGGTGGGGAATCTTGCTGGCTAGACCTTCACAACCTTTTGCAGTGGTGGGTCAAAACCCGTGACTGCGGTTGTTCTTTACTTTTTTTTTTTTCCCTTCAGGAAAAGAAGATTTTTCAGATCCCCTGGATGCATGCGGCTAGACATGGGTGGGATGTGGAAAAAGATGCACCACTCTTTAGAAACTGGGCAATCCATACAGGTACTAAAACTCCCTGCGGCGTTTATAGAGGCAGGCACTCTTGCTTAGTTTTGTTTTTATTACACATAAAATATCCTGGCTTATGACCTCATGAAGATGGCTGTGAAAAACCTGTGACTTGTTGCTAGGCACATCCAGGACACATGGGGTGCAAACTACAGCCGTCAGAAGTAATGCTCCCCTCATCTCATAGACTCTTAGTCCTTCAATTTCCTATAAATGTAGTATTCTAAGAAGTTCCCTAGGTGTTACCAGGGGAATAGAAACTCATTTGTTCTGATGCTATAAACTTTAATCAAATTTATCTACCCTACAAAAGGTAGTCAGAAATACATTTATTTATTACAACATTTACATAGGGAGCTATTTACAGGAATGGACTCTATTGGAGCGTCAGATGAAAAAGAGGCACTCAGGTTCCCTCTGCCTGTTGACTTTGCAGCCTCTCGGTCTTCTGTATTTTTCTTACGCTGGTGCTCCATTCTTCCAGCATTTATAGTTTCCTCAAGCTGTTCAGTAGAACCAGGGTGACCAGCTTGTCCCAGTTTGTCTGGAACTGTTCAAGTTTTAAAAACAAAATTCCCACATCCCAAGAACCTTCTCACCCCCAGGTACACCAGGACGATTGGTCACTGGAGGTATAGCCTGGAGTGAAAAGGTTTCCTCATACTGCCTGACCAGCAGTACTGTGTTTCCAGAAATTTCTTCCTCTGTATCTAATGTTTTCTCTCTCTTTCTTAATCTTTATCTCTTTTGTTAGGAAAGCATCAACCAGGAGTAGATAAACCTGATCCCAAAACATGGAAGGCGAATTTCAGATGTGCCATGAATTCCTTGCCTGATATTGAAGAAGTCAAGGATAAAAGCATAAAGAAAGGAAACAATGCCTTCAGGGTCTACCGAATGCTGCCCCTATCGGAGCGGCCTTCTAAGAAAGGTAAAGGCATTTACACACTAAAACAAGATCACTCAATTTATGTCATCGTGCCTTCGTGACCTCTTCATTTCTACATCTGCAGTCACTTCGCAGGTAGAATAGCCTGTTCATGCTGTGGGGGATCATTCCGCCCCTACCTGGCTTGGAAACAAGACTCTCAATTCACCAAAGGCAGTAAAAGATACATGTGGAATTTTGATCATGTACAGAGTAAAGCAACAAGTTCATTGAGAGTTTCAGAAAGAATTTAATTTGAGGGAAATGTTTCTCTGGAGGCCCTTCATGAATTAATACAAAACTACATTTTTGTTGCCACAGGAAAGAAACCAAAGACAGAAAAAGAAGACAAAGTTAAGCACATCAAGGTAATCTTGGGTGTTTCAGAGAGAAAGCCAAAGTTGGGTTCCTATTAATGACTCATACTCTGCCTCGTAAAGACGAGTCACAGGACCTCTGCGGAGCGTGTCATCTTTCTTCCTTTGCTTGTGTCTTCTGTGCTTTACATGTTTGCTCTTCGGCATGTATCCACTTGCAGACGTAGGTACACAGGGCCCTGCCTCATCCCATTTCCCTGGGAAATTTATGAATGAAGTCACAGATTCTCACTGTGCTCGGCAGGCTGAGGCCTCCATCTGGCCACCACGGCCGTTGCCAGCGGTCATTCTGTGCCAGCTAAGCTCCACAACAGCTTGTGGCTCATACTATTAAGCATATTTTCAGGCTATTAAATATACTTTAGTATGTATTGAATGTTCTCTACCTCTATAAAATGTATGAACTGTATGTTACAGACATCCGTCACGGGCCCTTCGGTGGGGGACACAGTGGTTAGCTTCAGCACTCCATCAGCACAGCTCTCAATGACTGCCTTCTGCCCCCTGCATCTCTCGCACCCCACAAGGGTTTCCCGTGGGATGTGCGTGTGTGTGTGAGTTCTCACGAGGCTGTGTGGTCTGAAGTCCCCTGCGGTCTGAGGATCTCTGTGCACAGATGAGGTGGCCCTCGTTAAACAGTGAGAGAAGAGCCGAATATGCCCCGCAAAACTGGGGACAAACCTCAGTGGCTGAGCAGAGAGCAGACACTGCAGCCACAGACCCAGGGATCTCAGAGAGATTGTCTAGCTCGCTGGCCTCCGTTTGCAGATGAAGAAATTTAGGCAGCGTATTTTTGCACTGATACTTTCAGTTTCACTTTCACTATTTTTTATTTTTAACTAAATTTAAATATTGCACTGTATTAAAGGCCTGATTGTGCTTTAACTTTTCATTGTGGAAAGATTTTATGCACATAGAAAGGAGACAAATGAGTAAAATTTACTCCATAGGCCATCATTCAGATTAATTTTAACCTTAATCAGCTCCCGGCCAGTTTTGCTTCATCAATAGCTCTTCCCATTTCCTGACTTCTAACATGACATTGCAGCCCTTCAACCATTTTTGACTTACAAAAATAATTTGTGTATTTATTTATTTATTTTCTTTTTTAATTGAGACAGAGTTTTACTCTGTTGGCACAGGCTGGAGTGCAGTGGTGCGATCTTGGCTCACCGCAACCTCTGCCTCCCGGGTTCAAGCGATTCTCCTGCCTCAGCCTCCCGAGTAGCTGGGACTACAAATGCATGCCACCACGCCTGGCTAGTTTTTGTATTTTTAGTAGAGATGGGGTTTCACCATGTTGGCCAGGCTGGTCTTGAACCTCTGACCTTAAACGATTCTCCCACCTCAGCCTCCCAAAGTGTTGGGAATACAGGCGGGAGCCACGGCACTCGGCCCAAAAACAATTCTTTGTAGTTCAGCTTAATATAATGTTTGAAGCAAATCCCAAATCTCATAGCATTTCTTCCATAATAGTTCAGTATATATATTTAAAAGATAAGTGCTCTGTAAAAATACCATGATGTCATTATTGTACCTGAAATAGTGCACGGTAATTTCTCAGTATCAGTGAATATCCAGCCAGTGTTCAGAGTTTCAGTTGTTTCATACATGTTATAATTTTCATGTGGTTTGTTTACTTAAGACCCATATACAATTGACATGTGGTTTTTGAATGTCTTTTAAGTATTTTTTAAGTGTATATGTTTCTCCTATATTACCTCTTAAAGTATATATATATATATTTTTTTACAATTGAACAAACCTAGTTGTTAGCCATATCATTTCTCACAGTTCTTTTTTTTTTTTTTTTTTTTGAGACAAGGTCTTACTCTGTCACCCAGGCTGGAGTGCAGTAACGCGATCATGGTTCACTGCAGCCCCAACATCCTGGCCTCAGGTGATCCTCTCGCCTCAGCCTCGCTCTAGTAGTCGGGTCTACAGGTGTGTGCCACTAAGCATGGATAATTAAAAAAAATTTTTTATAGAGGTGAGGTCTCACTCTGTTGCCCAGGCTGGTCTCAAACTCCTGGCCTCAAGTGATCCTCTTGCCTTGGCTTCCCAAAATGTTGGAATTACAAGTGTGAGCCTAGCCGAGTTAGTATTTTTAAGGCCTACATTTTGATTCATGTTATTTAGTCAGAAAAGTATACCTTTCTCACCAATGTGTGAGAATTTGCTACAATTTCAAGTGTGACTGAATCGTATTTACTACTGTTTTCCCATCATCTAGCTCGGTGTCTGGCCCAGAACAGACCACTAATATGTATTTGATAACTGAATAGATGCATCAGCGTTTGTTGACTAAATAGATGCATAAATAAGTAGGATATGTGGGGTGGGAGTGAGGGGTTTTCCATTAGGATGCAGATTTAATTTCCGAATCACAGTTAATGAAGAAATAAGAATGGAGTAACATATGTTGCCTTTTCAGCACACGTTGCTCACATGCATCCACTGTATTCCATCGAACGCCAGATGCCAATGATGCTAAGATGCACTGTTATTTTGTGTATCTCTTAGAAAAATTGCTTCCAATGAAACCAGGACACATACTGGATTGAAAGGCACGTCCTCTTTCAGGGATGTGGCAATGCGAGGAAATGTCCGTCTTAGTAGTTCCTGCCACGTGGTGGTCCCGTTCTTCCGGGATCTCTGCAGCCACATCGGCACCAGCAGTGTCTTCACATGGCCCTAAAATGAGCAAGTTGTGGAAGGCACAGTCCTAGGTGGGCTTGACCATCCTGGCCCAGGGAAGTAAGTGAGAGATCCCCTTACGTGCAGCCATGTGGGTCAAGAGCCACCTTAGCCAAGTGTGTTTCATGAAATCCTTGTGCCATGAGGATAGGATTGACACCTGAAACTTTTCTTTTGAAAGGACCTGATTCCTTCAGCAGAAGGCAGGTGATTCATTAGGCCTACACACAGCCTAACTTTGGAATTTCGATCTACTTGCATTGTGCTGTACAGTAAAGCAGGGAAGCTCGGAAGAGGCCAGTGGGCTTCCCGGTTCTGTGCTTCCTGGCTGTTCAAGCCATCGTGTGGACTCTGTCTCTGTAGAGTGTTTGAAAAGTGAACTCCCCAGGGCGTCTGGAATTGGAAAGTCAGAGGACAATTACTAGCTATTAATATATTACCTTTTAATTGTATATCAAAACACCCAGGGACTGAGTTAATATACCCTGTGCAAATATACTAAACCTACTTAGTCTATCCAAATATGTAACCGGATACACTAAGCAGGTTTCTTCTACTGAGGAAATTTGTCTTTCATGTGGTAACTAGGTATGAAAATTTGCTGTTGAAGCAAGCTCTTCCCAATCTTCAATTCAAGTTGAAGTTTTAATTAGCAAACAGTGTTTACAACATGTAGGCCAAGTGTTAGAATTTTCTTGGGGTCATTCATGATTCATCTCCATGCTGTATGTCCCCCAACAAATAGTCTCCCCGAGACTGGGAGACCCAAGGCCCAGTAGCCATGTGGTATGTGCAGAAATGGCCTCAGCATCCTCTGACATTTCCTTTTGTGAGCGTATCCCTGCATACTCAGTGAGCCATGTTTTCCTTGAGCTAAGCCCCACCTGTGCGGCAGTAACTGGATATCTAAGGAAGTGAAAACAAGAAAAACAGCTGGGTACAGTGGTACATGCCTGTAGTCCCAGCTGCTCAGGAGGCTGAGGTGTAGGAGGATGGCTTGAGCCCAGGAGTTCGAGGCTGCAGTGAACCATGATTGCACCACTGCACTCCAGCCTAGGCAACAGAGCAGGACCCCTTCCCCACCTCAAAAAAGAAAGAAAAACAATAATGAGAAATCCTGGATGCTACATCATCAGTGCATACATATGTTTCAGAAAATATCATGGAATGGTTTGCTCTGTGAGACTTCACACAAGGCCAAGAACAACAAGGATAGAAGTAGTTAAAACAGAGGGGTGCTCGTTGATATTTTTCAGCTGATTCCAAGTTCCCAGCTATGATTATTGTCTCATTGAGTTCTCCCTGTGATAGGCAGGTCGTTTCCCTTGTAGACATTTAGGAAATGGATGCACAGAGAAGCTGATTCATTTTCCCAAGGCTGCATTGCTTTACAGAGCTGAGATTTGAATCCAGGTTTGTCCACCGGGTGCCTTGTAGCCTTTGGGGCCTAAGCCAGGCCTTGAGGGGTGGACAGGGTCAAACCATGGTCCTTCCCCCACACTAGGGGCATCAGGAATGAAGGCCTGGAGATTAGAGTTGGTTTGTCTTTCCTGGATGAGACAGGAAACTGGCTTAATTAGAGCAGAAGTTTGTGCGAGGGGACAATGGGAAATACAGGCGTGTAGGTGAGGCGAATAGAAATGGGTACTTCCTGCTTCGGAGGGTTGTTTGCCGCTGAAACATACATACCTTGAAACTGCAAAGTGCTTCCAGATCAAAGTGTTAGTGTAATGAAGGAGACAGAATTGGGAAGGGCTGCCAAAGTCGCTTGGAAAAGATTAGGCCTGGTCTGTATTCGTTCTGAGCGCAGGCCTATGGGTGGAAGTTATAGAAAAGCAGATAGGGGTTCGGCTGCTCTTTCTCATAGAGTTGTTGGCTCTAACAGTGGCATGAGCTGGATTAAAACACGGCACACTCCCTGGCAGGGCTGCTACTGGAGTGATCCCTTCACTGGTTGGAAGAGGTCTTCAGTTTTTAAATTGTAATCAAATGAAAACACACGCCAGCAACTCACTTGAAAAACAGATAAGATGAGAGATGCCGTGGGTGAAGCGGGTTATCAGGCTTATTCTGCCTGCCCGGGATCCTCCCTTCCCATGTGGTGGCTCAGAACGGGACCTCCGAGCCCAATTTGAAAAGTTTTATGGGATAAGACGCAGTTGAACTCCTTCGAGCACACTTAGAGCAGGAGGGAACTGGTGTGTAAGGGAGGCCTTTCTCACCGGGATAGGAAGGAGTGGGGGCGGAGACACTGCTGTGGAAAGGCAGTAGCTGGTGCTACTGGCATGGAGGGAGGAGACATTTCTCCAGAAAGTGGAAGAGGGTACAGAGGATGCAGATAAGAGTGGCCTAAAGAGGAGGTCCCTGCGTCTTGCGCCTTCAGACGGGAGTGTTGGGAATGGAGGTCGTTTTGTGGAGAGGGTGTTTCGCTTTGGACATGCTGCCTTTGAAGTGACAGAGAGCCCTGAAAGTAAACGCCAGCTAGAAAGCTGGAGAGCGTAGCACTTGAGTGAGTGCCCAATGGGCAGATGTGTGGTCATTTACTTGAGAATGGCGTTGGTAGCTTTGGACACTGATGGCTTCTCCAAGAGAGAAGCTGTGTGAGATGTAGACAAAGGCCTGCAGAGAAGAGGCAGAGAAAAGTGAGCTAAGGAAAAAAGTCAAGAGGGAAGCTGCAGTGAGAGAAGGGAGGAGGAGAATGGCAATGGCCTCATTCTAAGGAAGGAGCGGAAGGAAGGTGGTTCTGGCACCGGGCAGGAGGCCCCAGCCTGTCTTACGAGAGCTTCTGTTCTCAGTGGCATTGGAGCCTCTGTGCTGGGTGCGTGCACTCGCCAGGGTCCAGTTCCCTGACCTACTTGTGAAGTCCAGCTCTCAGCCTACATGTTCTGTTAGCAGAGACCTAGAGATGCCCTTAAATTTGATGTTCTTAAATCTGGCTTCAAAGAGATTGGCTTTGCACAGATGAATTAGAGCATTTTAGAAGGTGGGAGGTGGGCTGGAGGCCTATTAAACAGGGCTTCAGGGACAAGGGGCATTAGCACAGGGTTGAGACAGCATAGGCTTGGAGCAGAGAGGAGTCCCTCTGCTGTCCTCTAACTCTGGTCCATCCCCAAGCCCATTCAGCAAGTGTAGCTTCAAGACCAGCTAAAGGTGTATTATTTTACAGGTCTAAAGAAGTGTGCTCCTGCCCCTGAACTCTCTCTTGTGCCAGTTTGCTTTTGCTTAAAATCCCTTAAACCATAGACCAAACCTTGGATTCTGTAATTACAGCAAAGGTTCTTGAGCGTCAGTGTTTGGCAGAGTTCATGCCCCCGTGTAGACCAAACCTTGGATTCTATAATTAGAGCAAAGGTTTTGAACATAAATGTTTGGTGGCGTTTATGCACCGTGGAGGAGTCTGGACCCAAGCAGGGTCTTTTATTTCTTTTTTTATTTTTTATTTTTTTTATCTTTGGAGTAAGTTGAGAAAATTAAAAGTCAAGAAGCTATGGGCTACTTGATTTACAGAAGAGCCTCTATCTACAGTGAGAAAGGGAGCAGAAAGAGGAGCCATGAATCCTGGCCAGGATTCACCGGGCCAGGTTATGGTGCAGCAAAGCAGGAGGCAGTTGAGCCAGGGCAGGAGTGGGGCATCGGGGGTCCAGGAGAGGCTGCGGGTGAAGGCTGTTCAGGGGCTGCAGGATCTCTATGTTCATTTTACATACAGAACTCCACACCCCTTTTCTTCATTTGAGATCCCTGGATTTTTAAGATAGCTTAGATTTAGATGTTTCTACTTCCAATCATGTCAGAAATTTTGACCCTGTTTCGTGAAGATCCTTCTCTCCTGGGCCTGTTCTGCACTCTGGATGGAGGCGTTTCAGGAGGTGCTGGCTCCATTTTACTGTGCCATTGACTGTACTGTCCGTCCAGAGTGACAGTATCAGTGAGATGATAGCTTTGAAATGACGGTTTCTTTTGAAGTGGGGTGAAGGGAGTAACACAATGTTTGGAATAGTCTCTCCCAGCCTCCATCGGTGGAATAGATGATGCCATTGTAGAAGTGGTCAGTGCAGGATACAGGGTAAGAATGGAGAGAGTAGAAGTGCAGTGGTTCATGCCTATCATCCCAGCACTTAGGGAGGCCGAGGCTGGCAGATCACCTAAGGTCAGGAATTCGAGACCAGCCTGGCCAACGTGGTGAAACCCCATCTCTACTAAAAATACAAAAAAATTAGCCAGACATGGTGGCAGGCAACTGTAATCCCAGCTACTTGGGAGGCTGAGGCAGGAGAATCTCTTGAACCCGGGAGGTGGAGGTTGCAGTGAGCCATGATCGCGCCATTGCGCTCCAGCCCAGGTGACAGTGTGACTCCCGTCTCAAAAAAAAGAAAAAAAGAAAAAAGTATGGAGAGAGTAGAACACTGTTCAAAAGAGTGTCTCAGTCCCCACTGGAATTAGGGCAGGCTACAAGGGCTTCTTAAGACAGAGAGCTCCTGGAATTGAACCATATTTCGTGACCAAGGACAGAGTTCAGTTCCGGTGTCTCCGCAGGCTAAAAGTAGCATGATCTTGGAAAATTAATTTAGACTCTGAGTCATCGTTTTCTCAAGTGATAAAAGTATCACTTGTCACTAATTAAACTGTAGATCATGTGTAACATTTAGAGGTCTTCAATGGAGAAATTAGAATTAATTTAGCTTTTTAAATATATGCAAGCCTGACTGCCTCATTAGTTTTATAAGAAACCTAGAAACAGAATGAATAAAAAAATAAGGTCAGACAGCAAAGGAAACCCATACAAATGAGCAATTCTCTCGTCACTTCTTCAGAGGCCTGTGCTTAGTTCTTTTAGAGGGAGTTGAAGAAATGGAGGTGGAAGAGTGAAAGGTGGGGCATGACTCAGGGGAGGGAAACTGACCAGGGTCATTGAGGACGCCATTGAGAAAGGAGGCTGCCGTCGGAGAAGTGGAGAATTGCAGCAGTGTCAGTCCAGGTGGCCATGGAGGGACAGCACGGTCCATCAGAGGTCAGAATATGGGGCCGGGGGAAGGGATTTGAGAAAAGGCCATTGGATTTGGGAGAGCAGAGTTTTGTTGGTGACCTTTGGTAATGGTGAGTGCTTATTTACTAATAAGTGCCATGTACATGGTTAGCTCATTTAATCTTCACCTTATCCCTATGACGTGGGTCCTATTATTGTCCTCAGTTTACAACTGTCCGCGGTGCCCTAGGGTGGCTTACAGAGGTTCAATAAGGAGCCGCAGCTAGTGAGGAGGGAAGGTGCCAGACTTTGCCCCAGGCCCGTCTGATTCCAAAGCCTGAGCTCTCAAGACCCGCTGGGAGCTTGATTCTGGAGGTGGAGGGGAAGCGAGACCACAGGAACTAATGGGGGCCCAGGTGGAGAGACCAAGTCCGGAAAGGCAGACGGGGGATCGGAAGTTTGGCTGTGAAGGAAGGAAAACCTGCTGACTCACCCACGTCACAGGCAAGTTTGTTTTTTTTTTTTGTTTTTTTTTTTCCAGAAAGGGCAGGCTTTTTTTTTCCCTTAAGAATCAGGCTCTCACTCTGTCACCCAGGCTGGAGTGCAGTGACATAATCATAGCTCACTGCATCCTCGAACTCCTGGGCTTAAGAGATCCTCCCAACATGGCAGTTTCCCAAGCATCCGGGAGAAGAAGCATGCACCACCACACCCGGCCAATGCTTTTATTTTTTGTAGAGACAGGGCCTTGCTATGTTGCCCTGGCTGGTCTCCAACTCCTGGGCTAAAACGATCCTCCAGCCTCAGCCTCCCAAAGTGCTGAGATTCCAGGGTGAGCCACCGTGCTTGACCCAAGAAAGGGCAGACTTCTTATTTAGAACTTGTAAGAGAAGAGATGCAAGATGCTGGGGGAGAAAGGAATAAAAATCGTACCTGGTAGGGATGGATGTTCTGGGCCTGCCCTTACGTTGGACCTTCGGGACATCTGGTAAAGCAGGCAGTGTATCGTTTATTTAAAAACCGAGCTATACAGTGGAGCGATGCCTTTGAAGTCATGTTATTGAGGTGGGAGTTTGCCAGGTGGGATTATGAAGGAGGAGGTTATTTCCCCTCCTTCCGTTAGTGACTTTTTGAGGATTTTGGGGGGATTGATTCCAGCTAGTGTATAAATAAACTGATGAGAACACCCACCATGTTTCAGAGCCGACCACTGTTGACTTTTCCAAACGCAGTCACATCTACTTGCATGATCCTCTGCTTCCAGTCCTGTGTTCCTTCTGCTCGCCACCCTCTTCTTCCGCTTTGGATTCCTTGGGTGTTGTCCTGTGTGGCTTTTGTCTGACTTGATTGCTATCGTAGCAGCAGAGGCAAGCTTACCTTGAGAGCTGAACGGCAACAGGCACCTCAGGGCTGGCTTTTGCAGAGCTGTTTAGAACAAGGGAATGGAGGGTTCTGGTGCACTTGAAAAAAGCACACATTCAGAGCTCCAGTAAGGGGAAGGAATTTGTTCTCATCATTTCATTAGTGTGTGCGTGCAGAATTCTTGGGCTGGATGGGATATTCAGCCACCTGAAGGGCAGTTATGTAAAGCCCATGGTGTGGGGTGGCCTGGCTGGGCTCAGGCCAGGGTACGGCCCCTGTGATCAGCCAACCATCCAGTGCAGGGCCTCAGGTGGCCGGAGGCCATGGCAAAACTTATCTGCAGAGAATTCATCTACAACTTCCCCTAGGCTCCTGTTCTTGGGCCAGTCATTGGGGCAGAGCTTTTCCTAAGAAATAACTGTGAAAGAGGTGGCATGATTCCCCCCTTAGGAGAAAGCCAGGCATTGATTCTTTTGAGCACTCCCTCAGAGGAGGAGAATGTGGAATCCACACAGTGCGGCATTTTACAGAGACAGTGATGCAGCTCTGCGCAGCCCCAGAGCTATTGTCTGCAGGTGGAAGCACTTCCTAAAGGCGAGCCAGATGGGCCGGTACCGTTTCCTTGAAGGAAAATGGAAGGAGCTGAATACCCAGCAGTGTACCCTGTGCAGAAATGTGCTTTAAAACAGACCAGCTTAAAGAAGCAGGGAATGAATGTATTCGGCAGCTGAACATGAATGACCCTAGCATTAAAGAAAGTAGGCCGAGGGTAGAATTTCAGCTAAGAGAAGGGAGGGGAAAGGAAGTGTTCTCAATTCTTTTTTCTTTTCTTCTTCCTAGCAAGAACCAGTTGAGTCATCTCTGGGGCTTAGTAATGGAGTAAGTGATCTTTCTCCTGAGTATGCGGTCCTGACTTCAACTATAAAAAATGAAGTGGATAGTACGGTGAACATCATAGGTAAACTGTTTTGACATCTCATTTTTTATACATACGAGCAGCCCCCTGGGGCCTAAAATTTGTAAAACAGTGAACTTCAAATAACATAGTCAGTGGGAGGAGGTCTTGGAATCATCTCAGAATGCAAGTTCCAGCCCCCGGATTTCAAGGCTTTTGAGGATCAGATAAAGGAACTGAGACGGGTCAGTCTCCGTGGAAGAAGGCTGGGGTGACCTCCCAGGAGAAGTGTTTGTTTCCCGGCGGCTCGTGGCTAGCGATCCCAGTCTTTCACTATTTGGTTCACATGGACAAAAGAGTATTTCTTTAACTCGGGAACCAAGGAGAGGGAAGACGGTCCTCACGAGTCCTCTCAGCAGCTGCTTCCTGGCAGACAGAGAAACTGAGGCACAGAGACGTGTTGCCAAAGGGCCCCCTCTGGTTCAGCAGATGTTTTTGAGCACCGTCTGTATATCAGACCCAGTACTAGGAGCAGGAAATAGATGCAGGAGGCGTGGAGGGACGGAGATAGTAAACAGAGACACCCACAGATAACCGCAGTGTTACCATGTGTGGTAGATACTGCAAAAGAAAAGAAAGGAGAGGGAAAAACCAAGGCACCAAATTTAGATTGGAGGTCTCAGAGGAGCAGTGTTTTCCCTCCTTCGTGACAGTTGAACGACTTCCAGAGGTAGCTAGCTGTGCCCACCCCCGAGGAGGGCAGGGTCTTTACAATGAAGACATGTCTTCTGATGTTCCTTCTCTCCCGTGTGGCCAAATGCACAGGTGTGGTGCCCAAAAGACCTCAGCCTGCTTTCCCTTTAAGGGGAAGGAGAAGAAAAAACTCCTTTTTATTTTTACTTTCTTTTAGCATTGAATTTTTGTTGTGTGTGTGGCGACTTCTGTTTTTAGGAAACGGAAGAAGCCAGCAGCATACTGGGTTGTCCTGACAGGCCTCCGCTGGCCTCTTGCCGAGGTTAGCAGTGCTTTTTTGTATTGAAACCATCTCCCGGGCAGTGTAAAAAGTTTGCAGGTGTGGACATTCTGTCTGACCGGCCCAGGCAGTGCTCTGTCACCCTGTTGTGTTTCTCGATAAAACACAGCCCCACCCTTTAATAAAGCAAAGATTGCTATGAAACCAGAGCGTCTGTTCATTACTCTGGAGTAAATAGAGCAGTCTGTAGGGACTAGACATATGGCAATTAGGAAGTCACGGAGTTGGGATTTTTGTCTTAATTTTGGCTGCCCAAAGTGCCCCCATAGGATATTCTTTTTTTGGTAATTATTTCCAAGTTTGCCTGTCGTTATCTACAGTAAAACTCAAGCAGCTTTTTAAGGCACGCCTGCAAACCCAAGTATCAACATGGGCTCCCGAAGGCGCAGGAGAGCAGATCCACAGCTTACTGGCCAGTGTTAGGGTCCCTGTGAGGGCCACCCAGTTGAACTCAAGGTTGGCAGACTCTGGCCCCAGCACTTGCCATGGTTTCACGATGGCCAGAGGTGACACAGGGCCGTGGCACTGGGTCTTCATCTCTTCCCATATCCTTTGTTTCCCCTTATTTTTGCCATGTTTTATTATGCTTCAGATAGAAATTTTATTTATAAGATAAAAAGTAGCTCTGGGGCCGGGCACAGTGGCTCACGCCTGTAATCCCAGCACTTTGGGAGGCCGAGGTGGGTGGATCACGAGGTCAGCAGATCAAGACCATCCTGGTCAACATGGTGAAACCCTGTCTCTACTAAATATATAAAAATTAACTGGACATGGTGGCAGGTGCCTGTAGTCCCAGCTACTCAGGAGGCTGAGGTAGGAGAATCGCTTGAACCCAGGAGGTGGAGGTTGCACTGAGCCGAGATGGCACCACTGCACTCCAGCCTGGGTGACAGAGGGAGACTGCCAAACAAAACAAAGATTAAAAAGTAACTCTGGGTGAGTCTTTAGATGGAGGGCACCCCCTCTGAGAGATCACCTATGCTGTCAGCCGTGCCCATGCCTTCCTCCTGGAAGCTGATTTGTTCACCCCTTAGGAGAAGGGGCCTGAGACAAGGCATTCGATTTTATCCACACCCCTAGAACGCTCTTAGCAAGATGAAACACCATGTGAGATGTGAACCCTTACATTGCAATATGCCCAGACACAGAACCCACAACAACATACTTTATTCTTGGCTGTATTGGACCTGGAGCGCCTGGGCACTGAGGTGAGACTGTGGGGCCGCTCCTCAGTCACCAGGTGCCAACCGAGAGACCCGGGCAGTGGAGTTGGGCTGCTGTGTTTTCAGCCTTAAGAAGTTTTTATTTACTCAAGAAAGCTGTCATCTTTTTGTGATGCTATATATTGTTTTCTTCTTCCTTCTCTCCCTGGCTGCCACCACCTCGTTTATAATTAACTGTCACCTCCTCCTGTCTTCCCTCACCGTACTTCTCAAGTCCATCCCTTCTGTTGCGGACACTGTGTGTGGGCCTGCCTTGGCTGTCAGCTGGGCTCTGCTTCCATTCTGCCCCCCATTTATTCTTCTCACAGAATAAAGAATGCCAGTGTCATCATGTCACCACTGACCCCAAGAGAAGGAGTTGAGTTCCTCCAGGTCCCCGCGGTCTGGCATAACCTGGGCCCTGCCCACCGCTTTCATACCTGTCTTTGAACTTGAATTACTCTGAACAAGTTCAGCTCCCTGTGGCTGCTCATGGAGACAGTGAGGTTGGTGGTGGGCCTCTTTCTGGTGGGGTAGCTGCAAAGGCTTTGTCCACAGGGCACAGTGAGGAGTGGACATGTGGCAGTTCCAACAGGAGGTGTAGCTCCAGCCCAACACGTCTCTTCCACACTTCTGCTCCCTTTGAGACATTGACCCTTGAGACATTGGTTACCTCTACTGAGTTTTTTTTTTTTTTTGAGACTGAGTTTCACTCTGTTGTCCAAGCTGGAGTGCAGTGGCGCGATCTCGGCTCACTGCAACCTCCGCCTCCCGGGTTCAGGCGATTCCCCTGCCTCAGCCTCCCAGGTGGCTGGGATTACAGGGATGTGCCACCATGCCTGGGTAATTTTCTTTGTATTTAGTAGAGACGGAGTTTCACCATGTTGATCAGGCTCGTCTCAAACTGCTGACCTCAAATGATCCACTTGCCTCGGCCTTCCAAAGTGCTAGGATTACAGGTGTGAGCCACCGTGCCTGGCCTCTACTGAGTTTTTACTGGGATACATCCTGTGCTTCCCTTCGTGTAGTAGCCTGAGATGCTGTTTTCTCACGGGGTGCAGGGTGCACGGTGCCCTGTCCTACTGTTGCCTACTACTGCACTCTGTCACCCTGGTGAGGTGTGTGCAGCCTGTAGTCAGGGACAGCATGGCCCAGGCACCTACAGATCCCTGTCTCTGAATCACCGACCCCACGGTGACTGTCTCTCCCACCATGGCTCTCGAGTGCCTAAATCAAATCATGGCTGTATTTTATACCGAAAGAGCACGAGATTGGAAGTCAAAAGATGTGGGTTCTAGACCTGCTTCTGAAGTTTTTTATTTACCATGTGATTTTGAACAAACTCCTTAATCTTTTGAAATTCAATGTCTAGATAGATTGGAAATAATATATAATTATTTATAAAATGGAAAAATTTAAAATTATATAGAAAATGGAAATAATCATACGGATCCGGCCCATCTCACAGAGTTACTGTGAGGATGAAGTGAAATGTACAGATACATCACTCTGGGGCTAGAAGGGGGTAAAATGATATGATTATGATATTACCAAAATCATATTAAAATATATTTGATTAAGAAAAGTAGCCTCCATCTGTGCTGTGTCATCAGGGCGGGTGTGAAGTTTAACTCCTGAAACCTTCAGAAGGGCGGGGGGAAGTTCCCTGCGTGAGGCCCTGCTGATGGCCTGATTTTATATGCCTGCTAATCAATTTCATTCTTGACTCTGCAGCTACTTGGGTGACCTTAGCAATCTACCTGACTTCTGGGTTTCAGCGTTTTTCAGCTGTAAAATGGTAGGACCAAACCCCCTCCAAGGACCCCTCTGTTTCTAATAATCTGCTTTTAAGCACTTTCTCTGAGGCGTGGGAGCAAGCTGCTTTCTCAGGTGGAGACCTACATTAAGTCAACAATGGCTAATAAAGTAAGAATGACCTTTTAAGGAATCAAACCGGTTCATCGGTAACCAGCCATAAATAATATTGTTATAATTCTCAGCAACTAGATTCAGTTAAAATTGCATTCCTGTGGGTGACTCTTTTCAGATGTGCTGACTTCAATAAACTGGAGAAACTTGGTGGATTTCTCCTTCTTCTAACTGAGAATTTCCCTAGCACACAACAGAGAACTGTTGAAAAGAAATGTCACTATTAGTTATGAGCCTGAAGACTCACTAAGGTGAGATTCAAAAGTTTTTTATCCTGAGAGGGGCTAAGAAAGCCAACAGTAGCTCAGTTCGGACTTCGTTAACTCTCTCTGTTAGGGAGAGCATATTATAAAGAGTTGAAATTTGGAGTCAGGTGAGGCTAACATTGACTCCCGTTCTGCTGCTGATTGGCTGTCTGACCTTGAATTAGTTATGTGGTTATGTCTCGTCCGGTTGTTTCAGCATGTCTGGAATGGGGATCACTATTGTGCCTTCTTCATGGGCTGTGAGGTCTTGGGAGGTGGTAGGTAGAGGCAAAGATAGGTGCTCAGAAAGTCAGGTTTTGTCATTATTATCAGGACACTCTTGAGCACCCAGAGGAGTGCCACTTCTGACTCTATTTGCTGTAGCAGGTAAGTTTGTTATTCATGTGTCTTTTCAGCTGTCAGGAGTCAGTGTTGCTGTGAGCGGTTCAGGGAAATCAGTTCACATGGCAGGAGACAGAGAGAGAGACACAGATAGAGACTGGTTAGTGACAGTGTTGATGCTCGTCTAGAGAGCATTTCGATACTGGGGTTTCCTGCTTCTCTCATGGGCTTTCTCTCGGGAGCTGGAAAGTTTCTAAAGTACCCAGGATGTTTGGATGGAGAGAAGCCATTGTCCCTTACCAGGGCATCAAACAGCACACGCCTGTGGGGGAATTTGGCCTGAGAGATAACATCATTATATTAACTTGGTATCCAGATCCTAGCCCAGAAAACAAAGACTGACTTTTCTGTCCTGGTCACCCGCATTCAGGATACACCTAAAATCTGCGTGGACATGCTTATCTACTTTTTATCCCAGGTCATGTGTATTAAGTGAAATACGGTAAAAGTCACCCCTTTTAAGGCATATAGTCCTATAAATGTTGATAAATGCACTCAGTGATGTAACTACCACCATACTCAAGACAGAACATTGTCATCACCCCAACACGTTTCCTCCCTGGCCCCCAGCCCTCGCACCCGCAGCCGGCTGTCTTTATCACTTCCCAAAGGCTTCAAGAGTCCGCTTGCCAGAAGTCTTGATGTTTTCTAGAAAACATCGTCACATCTCGTCATTGCAGATTGTCACAGTCTCCTGCAGGACTCGACTCTGGCTCCAGTCAGTGAGCCTTAGCCCATTCATGTGTCCATTCTCTGGCTCCAGTCAGTGAGCCTTAGCCCATTCATGTGTCCATTCTCTGGTCCAGTCAGTGAGCCTTAGGCATTCATTGTGTCCATTCTTGCTGGCTCCAGGTCAGTGAGCCCTTAGGCCTTCAGATGTGTATTCTTTGCTTCAGTCTGAGCCTTAGCCCATTCATGTGTCCATTCTCTGGCTCCAGTCAGTGAGCCTCGGCCCCTTCACGTGTCCATTTATTCAGGGGAGAGTCCCTGAGTGCCTCTCTGGTGGGAGTTGTGAGTGTGTGTCATGACGACACAGAAAGTTCATACTTTTGTTGAGGAGAGATGCCATTGACCAGTTCAAAGTTCCATACGGGTATATAGAATTAACCAGCAACACAAGGCCGGAAGTCCAGAAGTGTCGCAAGGTCACGCCCCGTTGTAGTTTCGGCCGAGCAACGGGAACAGTGAGTGAGAGGCACCCAGGGGACAGAGGCTGGTCTGTGCTGGCCGGTCAGGAAGGGGCTCCAGAAGTCAGGGGCATGGTGTATGCTGCCTTTTGCTCAACCCCCACCCCTGTGCCACTGCCTCACTGAAGTCTTTGATTCCTCAAACTAGAAAACACACCCCACTTCTCCAGCTTCCATCGTATGGCCCCTTCTTTTTCTTTTCTTTCTTTTCTATGTTCACGGCCTTAAACTTACTCTCTAGATGGTTCGTCGCTGGCCTAGAGCCATGTTTATGAACTTCTTACAAACCGGATGCTTGACTGCATCGATCTTCCGCTGCTCCTTCTAGCCCTGGGAGGCCAGGAGGTACAAAGCAGGTGTTCCATAAATCTCTGTTAGTTGAATAACCGACTTGGATGTCATGGGGAAAAGCAGTGAGAGAAGGAATTCCTGGTTGGAACAAAGGGATCTGACTAGGGGGATACTTGAGCGGCTGCCATTGTTTGTAGTCCCAGCTAGCTTGCTGTCTTTCTATCAGGAGCAACATGCAAAGGAGAGATGAGGTTTGAAGTACTGGAAGTTTAAATAGCTTCGCCTTAAGTCACATTTATCTAAGGCCTTCATTGCCTTAGTATGCAAAGCATCACTCTGCCCTCCCTCCTCAAACTCACCCGTTTGGGTTCTACCTCCACCCACCAGCTGCTTCTTAGGACTTGGGCTAGGGCAGGACATTATCTTGTTTTCCTGCCATTTTATTTTACTTGGAGGGAAGAGGCAGAAGAAACTTGAGAGAGGTCAGTGTAGGTCAGCGTCAGTCTGTGTCTAGTAACCTGCATAATTGATGTCCTCACCCTCAAATAGGATAGTCCAAAGGATGAAATAAACAGGCTTGGGATCTGCCTGCCATATAGAGCCTGCCTGCCTTTTCTTTAATTTTATTCCCCCCCAGGAAAACCTAAACAGGATCCGGTTTCCTTCCGTTCTGTATGCTGTGGCTTTTGGACTCTTATCACAGCCCCAAATCCCCTTTCTGAGCCTCTTCTGTGCCTTTCCTTTCTTTATTAAAGAACCTATGAATTGCCACTGCCCTCTAAAACCTTCCCTGCGTAGCAATCAGATAATGTGCTTATCACTCCACAGAAAGCAATTAAAACAGGAACCTGTTTATAAACAAGAATACTTCAGAAAATAAAATACTTGGAGTGATTAAAACAGGAGCCTCTCCATGACGCCTGGCGTCTCAAGGAGACTGGAATGCATTCTAACCTGAATACTTCACCGATTGGTGAGAAAATGTCAGCAACATAGAGCACCGCATATACTCCAAGCTGTGTGAGTTTGGACAAGTCACTCTCCCTCTCTGTGCCTGAGTTTCTTCATCTATAACAGGATAACGCTGCTTTCTCTGTCATCCTTGTGGGATAAAATGTTAAAATGACATATACGAGGACCTTGGGAATTATTTCTTCACCTTTATTTATTGAAGCTAATTTTCAGGGACATTTCATCCAACTGACAGTGGTATGAGGTCAGTTTCGTTTAAAATTAGGGCAGGACCTTAGGGATCTTCAAATTGAAATAGCAATGAAATATCATTACTTACCTACGAGAATGGCCAAAATAAATAAACAGTGGCAACACGAAACGCTGCCGGGGCTATGGAGAAATCTCATCACTCAGACATTGCTGGTGGGAATGTAAAATGGCACGGTCACTCCGGGAAGCAGTTTGGCAATTTCTTGTAAAATTAAACATGAAATTACCATATGACTCAGCAATTGCATTCTTGGGCATTTATCCCAGAGAAGTGGAAACTTGATGTTCATACAAAACCTGAACACAAACATTCATAGCAGCTTTATTTGTAATAGTCAAAGGCTTGTATCAACTCAGACATCCTTCGGGGGAGAATAAACACACTGGTACGTCTATACCATGGAATACTACTCGACAATAGAAAAGGAACCAATGACTGACACGCACAACTTGGGTGACTCTGCAGTGAATTCTGCTGAGTAAAAGCCAGCCCCAAAAGGTTACTATATGAGTCCATTAATATAACATCCTTGAAATGAACAAATTAATGAAACGGGGAACAGATTAATAGTTGCCCAGGGGTCCTGGACAAAGAGATGGATGGGGAGGTACTGAAGGAAGGTGGCTATGGTTACAAAGAGTCACATGAGAGAGACTGGTGGTGATGGAACTGTTTGGTGTTTTGACAGTGGTGGTAGGTACATGAAACTTCATGTGTGATAAAACCACTTAGTCCTGGCGCAGGTACACACTCACGCAAAAGAGTGCAAGTAAAACTGAGGAAATCAGAACAAGATGGGTGGATTGTTATTAATGTCAATACTCTGGTTGCGATATTGTATTCTAGCTTTGCAGGATATAACCATTGGAAGAAAATGAGTAACAGGCACACAGGATCTCTCTGTATTATTTCTTACAACTGTATGTGAGTTTACAATGATCTCGAAATAAACAATATAATTTTAAAAATTGAGGCAGATTTCAGAGCTAGGGTTGTCAGATTCCGTCTTATCAGTGTTCCGGGGAGCTGATGCTACTAATGTTTGCCAGAATTGGAGATCTGACTCTATTCCACTGTGCTGATATTTCAGCCAGTTGGACATGTTGCCTGCAGAGCAGGAAGGGAGCTGGGAGCGTAAGCAGAGCACCCCACAGCTAGATGTGACACAATTGGGTGATTTTCATGGTCCTTCCTCTTTGGTAAGGTTTGATAATGTCTCCCTGGATCATAGAATCCAGAAAATAAGCACAGCGCCTTCTTTTGGAGCAAGTGCAGGGAGCAGAAATCGGTCAGGTTCAAAATACTGTCATGTCTGGCCCTGGGGCTGGGGCTGGATGCTCCCTCTGGTCCTGTGGCCTTGGCTGTGACAGGGTTGAGTGTGGAGTTCTGCTGAGCTGGGTAGGACATGGCTACGGTGCATGCCATTGGCAGGCATGCTGGAGACAGACCTGGGGAGCCAAGTGCTGGCCGGCTGCTCCCTGGGAGACACCACCCCAGAGCTACAGAGCTCAGGCTTGTTCTTCAGCCCCATGGCAGGGGACAGATGGTGATGGGAGCCTGGCAACCTGGCTCTTTTGGGGAAGACTTTCTTTCTTGAGAAAGTGTGCTAGAATTGTGAGGTCAGGAGACTTTGCATGATGGCTGTCTTTTCTTTGAAGTTGTAGGACAGTCCCATCTGGACAGCAACATTGAGGATCAAGAGATTGTCACCAATCCGCCGGACATTTGCCAAGTCGTAGAGGTGACCACGGAGAGCGATGAGCAGCCGGTCAGCATGAGCGAGCTCTACCCTCTGCAGATCTCCCCCGTGTCTTCCTATGCAGGTGAGCGGCAGCGGGAGGCTCTGGGAGGCCTGGGAACTGGCTGCGCAGTGCTTTGGTCTAGGGTCACCCATCTCACCACCCCACGGAGCATCTCTCCTCTGTCCTAGGAGTTCTTCTTCCTGGAGTTTTTCATACTTTAATTATCTTGATCAGCATCTTCTTGGACACTTTTGTTCTCAGGTAGAGGACAGGATCACAACATTTCTTTACTCCGTTGGCCATAACATTTTTTTTTTTTCTTTTTGAGACAGAGTCTCGCTGTTGTTGCCCAGGCTGGAGTGCGGTGGGATGATCTCGGCTCACTGTAACCTCTGCCTCCCAGGTGCAAGCGATTCTCCTGCCTCAGCCTCCTGAGTAGCTGGGATTACAGGCACACACCACCACTCCAGCTAAGTTTTGTATTTTTAGTAGAGCTGGGGTTTCACCATGTTGGCCAGGCTGGTCTCGAGCTCCTGACCTTAGGTGATCCGCCCGCCTCGGCCTCCCAGAGTGCTGGGATTACAGGCTTGAGCCACCGTGCCTGGCCTCCCATAACATTTTCATGTATGGTTAACAGATAAGATTTCTTTAGGGCAGTGGTTCATCAGAGTCTAATTTGTTAGTCCAAGTTACTAGAAATTTGGCAGTGCTTTAATGGATTCTCAGTTTGAGCAGACTGGATAGGACCTTAGAGGTTATCTCTTCCTGTTCCTTCATTTCTGAAAGGGAAGGGACTTACTCGGGGTCCTACAGTCAGCACGTGTCTGGGCCAGGACTTGACCTCAACCTTCAGACCCCCAGCTCATTGCTAGATCCATTCCATTCCAGCAAGCGTACTTGTCCTTTCCACATATTTTCTCTTTCTTTTTATATCTAGTACAGGTTCTAATTAGGCCAGATGACTGAGCCCATTGCCAATTCCCCAGGGAACTAGCGACATAATGACAGGAGTTGGCCCGGGCAGAGTCACAGGAGAAGGAACAGATCCAGTTGGTTCTTGATTCTTACAGAGTAAAAGGACGGCTCCTCTTGTTCACCGGCATTACTTCATCTTCTCCTCTCTTCCTGATGATCTCCATTTAACTTTGTGGAAATCAACCGTAATTAGGAAATATAAATCCTGAGTCAGTGTTACTGCTTGCAGATATTAAAAATAAAAAGCAGAGGCCCCATCCTAGGAAACTGCAGTTCAGTTCTAGTAAATTGTTCAGGGATTCTTCCCTGTGCTCTTTACACGCTGCCAAATGGGGTGTCCTCCAGTAGGTGCCACCCCTAACACTGGCTCACACCCGCGCTGGAATTAAGGACCGTTGTTTGTGAATTATCAGCCACTAAATCTAATCTCATTTTCCCTGAATGCCAACTTTCTTGTTTTTTCTTTTTTTTTCACTTTTAAAAATTGTGGTAAAATACATTAACATAAAATTTCCATTTTAGCCATTTTTAAGTGCAAAGTTTAGTAGCGTTAAGTGCATTAATGTTGTGCAGCTGTCACCGGCAGCCACCACCAGAACGTTTCTCATCTTGCAAAACTGAAACTCTGTCCGCATTAAACACTAAGTCCTCTTTTCCCTCCTCCACCCTAGCCCCTGGCAACCTCCTACCTATTTTCTATCTCAATGAATTTGGCCATTCTAGGTACCTCATATGAGTGGAATCATGGTGTTTATTGTTTGGTGACTGGCTTACTTCACTTAGCATAGGTTCTAGTGTACATTTATGCTAGGAACGAACGTAAGTGGGATGTGAGAATAAACCTTGGCTACAGGAAGACTATAATCTGTCAAACAGGATAAGCTTGTCATCAGTGATTTATTCAGCAAATGCATTTTGAACTCTTATACGTGCCAGTCCCTATTTGGTCCTTGCCAGTATTCAGTCACAAGAACCACCATTTGTTGCAAGTTTATCGTGCCCTGGGAACCATGCTCAGTGCTTCGGTACAGGGGACTATTTGTTGTTGTTATTGTTGTTGTTAATAGAAATAGGGTTCTGCCATGTTGCCCAGACTGGTCTAGAACTCCTGGGCTCGAGTGATCTGCTCACCTCAGCCTCCCAAAGTGCTGGGATTACAGGCCTGAGCTGCCAAGCCTGGTATGATACAGTTGACTTGTTTAATTATAATTAGAGTAACCCTGTCAGCTGGGCATCATCATCATCCCCTTTTTAAAAGTGATGAATCTGGCTGGGTGTGGTGGCTCACGTCTGTAATCCCCGCACTGGAAGGCTGAAGTGGGAGGATCACTTGAGCCCAGAAATCAGAAACCAGCCTGGGCAACATAATGAGACCCCACTTCTACAAAAAATAAAAAAAGTTAGCTGGGTGTGGTGGCATGTGCCTGTAGTCCCAGCCACTTGGGAGGCTGAGGCAGGAGCATCACTTGAGCCCAGGAGTTCAAGGCTTCAGTGAGCCCTGATTGCACCATTGCACCCCAGCCTGGGAGACAGAGTGAGATCCTGTCTTTAAAAACCATATGTATATATATGGATCTACGGCTGTCGTAGGTAAAGCTGTGTGTCTGAGGGAGGAACGATTGGGAGCACAGCTAGAACCCATGAGCCGTTGATGCCAAAGGCTGGTCCTTAACCCCCCCAGCCTATGTGCTGCCCTGGACAGCTGCACGGGCTCTGCCATTCAGAACACAGCCACATCTCGTGATCTCATTTGATTTTCACAAGGACCCACCGAAGGAGGCAAAGCCGAATGTTTATGCCTTAATTTTACAGTAGAGCTAACTGAAGCGTGAAACACTCAGCCACTTCACTTACATTTACATAGTTATGGCTAAAAACCCATGACTTTCTTCTGTATCCTGCCGCTGCAGGCATCGTTACGCTCCATGTGGTTTTCTTTTTCTCTTCTTTTTTTAGGGGGTTGGAGCTTTAGAATAGACTTCTATGTTTATCTGTTGAGTAAGACTTCTCTGAGGTCTTCTTGGGGATTCTGGAAAGGCCTCTTCTTGCCGTTCTGCCAGCAGCGGCATTTGCTCAAGCAAAAGAATCCGGAGAACAGCAGATCCATGCAGAGAGAAAGGAAAATTTCGTTACTGTCTTCAGGACATTTGCATAGATTTGAAAGGAAGGATTTCAGTGCCAGGATGGCCGTCAACAGGAGGTTTGGCTGGAGCCTGGCTTTTCAGCCTGGCCTTTGGTTCTTTCTGTTGTTTTCATTGTCTGGATTCTCCAGAACCTTGTGGAGGGAGGGTTGCTGGATGGAGCCACAGTGTCCGTCGCTGCTGCTTTTCTAGAGCTCACACTGATATAAAACATTTCCCTGTTACTGACTGTGGCTAATTTTAGTTCCTCCGTCAGAAATTGTATAACGTGCTGCCAGGAAAGGCAGCTTTCTGCGTGTATTCACCTTTCTTGCTTTGTGTTCTCCAGTAGAGCCGGCCATTTGCCTGTTTTTCATGATGGAGTTCCTTTGTTTGGGCTGTTCATCTGCATGTCAACCTCCTCTGACCATCTTTATTCATCTGTTTGGGAAACTGGTATTTGGAGGCTGCCGTTTGCTCGTTTTCCCCTCTACTAATCATTGAACTATAATCCCAGTAGTGTATTAGAAAACCACATTCAGTTTTGCAAGTCTGTCTTCTCCTCTGTGGTCTAAATATTATGGTGAGAAAGAGAAGAGACAGCACTTGCATTGGATGTTTTAAGACAACATACACTTCTAGTGTGATTCGTAAACCTTTCGTACTAGGGAGGGACATTTCGAAGTGCCACTTTGGGAAGCTCCGGCGGAGAGACATGTCATGTTTAAAGATCCATCACAAAGGGACCGCTTGCCTGATCTGTGGCATCAGAATTGTATTAGGTGGTTGATGGTTTAATAAAAGAAAACCACAGTAGAATAATGGGGGAGGATGGGTAAGAGGGGCTGGAGAGTAGACTCGAGAAGAAAGCATCATCTGAAGGACTCACTGGCTATAATGAGAGAGTGGAGATCTTCTACTGACCGGCAGCCATCAGTAAAGGCTTTGAATCCTTCGGGAAACCACACCAGGCTTGCATTTTGTTGGGCGGAGCAAAGGCACAATAGCTTTGAGATGAAGAGGACTCCGATTTGAAAATAATTTACTCCTGGTGAAAGTAATTGAGAATATGATCAATAGAAAGACATTCAAATCAAACTTGTTGAACAAGAGCCTTCCAGAAAGTGCAGCAGAATGTCAGAGTGCAAAAAGGCTTTCAGGTAAAAATGTATCATCTCCCTTCCAGCAGTATTCCTGAGAGGGTTAGACAATATGTGTGTTCTCAGGGAGGCATTAAAAACTGGTCTGGAATAGAGAGTTAACCTACAACCAGCGTCACCCTAGAACTGGAAGAGCTTTGGAGATCATCTAATCCAAATACTCCCCTTCCCTCCCAGCCCAGATGCTTTCAGGAAAACTGAGACCAGAAAGGTGAAGTGAATTACTCATGTGCCTGTTGGTGCCGTGTAAACACCTTCAGCTTATTCAGCTTGTTTGGAGTTGCTAGAGAGGCAACTCCAGACTTCTTTATTCCATTATATTTGAAGTAAGTAATAAACAAAAAGCAAAAGGAAATTCAAACTAATCAAAAGGGAAAATGAAATAACAACTTATGTTGATAGTTCCATGGTAGTACTGATCTGGAGGCACAGCTGCAGTCAGCTGCCTTGTGTAAGAAGTCAGCGTGGAAGTGGGAGTGGTGGAGTCAAACCAAGGAAACAGAGGACATGGGGCGCAGTGCATCCACCAAAGCACTTTGAGTCACCGATTCTGGGGTCGCAGAGAGAACTGCTGCCCTCAGGGGGAGGTTCAGGGTTCTCTGCTCCTAAGGTACTGAAGGCCCCTTTTTAAAACTGTCGGTGTCCTAATATGGCGCATCTTCCTGACGACTTCAGATGCTGTGGACCTTAATCTAGACATGACGCTCTTTAACTCGCATTTGTGTCAGCTGAAAACAGAAGTTCAGAGCGTGTGTATCTTTTCTTATCTGCAGCTATTTCCCTGAAGCTGAAAACTGGGTACTTAAAGGAAGTTAGCATCCCAGTCACATTCATGGGCTGTGCAAGGTCTCGCCCAGGAGCCTTACCCCAGGATCTGACTTCCAGCCCTTCCTGCACCCGCGACTTGGGCTGTGCTGGAATCCCAGCCCCCAAAGCATGCTTGGTGGCGTTTCTTTGTTTGTATTTGGAGGGGAAAGGAAAGAAGACCGTGATATTTATGGAAAGTCATTAGGAGTGAAGAGCCTCTGAACCCATATGAAAGGAAGAGAAACCTTGGCTTTGGAGCACAAAGAAAGCTCAGCATAAAATGGAAAGCGGATCTTGAAATTTCATCAGAGGCCAGAAGAGCAGGGAAGCAGGGCTGCTGTGTGCAGTGTGCAGGCCCTGGAGTCAGAAGTCCGGTTTTGTTTTCTCTCCTCTGTGCTGTCTCAGTTGGCAACTCTGGCAAGTTTCTCAACATCTCTGTTCCTCATTTTTCTTCTTGGGAGTGGCTGTTCCGATTCCTGCCTCCTCGGGATACTGAGCCAACACGAGAGTTCTGTGAGGAGGGGAATTCTGTTTTCTGTTTTTCATGTGTTTCTGCGTGGAAACAGTTCTTGTGCTTAGCACTGTCAGCTCATCTTCATAGCTGGGATCTTCGTCAGCTGAGGCTGAGGGCTTCTCTGGGCCTCTGTGGCTCCCAGCATGGGATGTTTTGGGGAAACATGCCCAGTCCGAGGAGTGGAGAGATCTGCCTTCTGCATGCTCATGGCCAGCCCCCCGCGATCACTCAGGCTTGTGTGAAGTCACTGGAGAACAGTGGCTGACAAACAGGCCCAGAGACTCCAGGCTGGGACCAGTGGAGTCCATGTTCTTACTTTCCTCGTTTAAGGAATGCACCTGTGGCACAGTTTGTCCATTTGTTCTTTTGCCTTTAATTGATAGACAGCCTGGTCTGGGGCTAATGCTCTCGGTGGAAGAAAGGGCTCTATCTGGGCTGGAGCCATCTCATCCCAGCGCTGCCACCAGGAAGATGTGAGACAGAAGCCAGCCCCTCAGCAGGGACCGGGTGGAAAGCTGGAAGGCACTGGAGCATAAGAGCTCTTCTGCATAACGGGGGATAAGAGCAGCTGCTTCCTGACGTAGGACCCCTGTGAGACCTGCATGCAAAGCCTGTGGCATGGCATTGACCCATAGCGCTCCCCTCTTTTAGAATGTTCGCTTCCTTTAGAACATGAGCTTCACTTTTGGATTTTCTCGTGTTTTGAAATATACGTCACCTAAAATTTACCATACTTTTGGGTATGGGGTTATTAAATTCAGAGTTGGAACTAAATGGGAGGAAAGGCAGTTAAAGGTTACCATCAGGAAGAGAAGCTATTGCAGTTACTCTTTAGGCCTTGTCTGTACAGTGAATGGCTCAGGTTAAGTGATCTCTAAATGCCTAAATATTGCACAAGCTCTGCCCTCTGTGATTTTATTTCTCAGTGGTTATGGACACTGGAAAAATCGCACACCATTGATATTTTATTTTACAAAATCAAAATGTTTTTATGTTTAAAAATATTTTTATAAGCATAGGTTGTATATAATCACTAGACTTCAATTTCATTAATCCAGCCTGTTGTGCACACCCAGGGTTAAGCAGTGCTGATGTACGGAGTGTGTGCTGTGTGCCAGGCCCTTGCTAGGCCTTTTCCATGTACCCTCTCACTCACTCTCCATGTAATCCTCTTAGCAGGTGGCAGTGCCCTCATTTTACAGAGGAGAAAACTGCAGCTCAGTGAAGTTGAGAAACTTGCCCAGTGTCTCACAGCTGGCAGGCCAAATGGGGATGGTAACTGATTGGCTGCCATAACCATGAAACCACAAACTTAGTGGCTTGAAGCAACACACATTTGGATCTTACAGTTTCTGTGAGTCAGGAATCCAGGCGTAGTTTAGCTGTGTCCTCTGCTGCAGAGTCTTGCAAACCTGCCATGGAGGTGTTGGCTAGGGCTGCTGTCTCATCTGAGGCTCAACTGGGGAAGGGTCCACTTCCAAGCTCACGTGGTTTTGGCAAAATTTCGTTTCTTGCAGGTTGTTGGACCAAGGACCTCAGTCTCTTGCTGGCTGTTGGCTGGAAGCAGTCCTTACTTCTTTGCCATGGGAGCCTTCCCAACATGGTTGCTTGCTTCAGCAAGGCCAGCAAGGCAGAGTGTTTCCTCTCCCAACAGGTTTCTGTGTTATGTAACATCATCATGGACACAGGATCACATCCATTCCATCCCCTTTGCTGTATCTTATTTATTAGAAGCAGACACACATTCCATCCACACTCAAGGGAGGCAATCCCAAAGAAAGTGAACCCGAGGAGGTGAGGATCATGGGGAGCACCCCAGGTCTGTCCACCTACGGTAACCCACATGGCAGATGCAACTCTAGAAATCCAGGATCTAAGTCCTGAAGGGGTGAGAGGTAAAGGAAGGATCTGAGTGTGATGGGGATAATGCAGGAAAACCTTTTCAAAATGGTCAACTCTGCTTTGGAACTTAAATGAATTGGTTGGCATGGATTGGAAGACAGGACCCGTGTGGGCATTGTGGACAGAGCTGCAGTGAGGAGGGCCCCAGGGACCAGTGCCCCTTCCTGGGAGGTAGTGCCCAGTGTAGACACAGCCCGGCCCTGGCCAAGGGAGCCTCCTCGCAGCTCTCAAGCCTGGTTCTCCAAAGATTACAGAGTGGAAACTCACTGTAGCTTCTTCCATGTAGAATGTTTGACTTTACAAAGGGAGGAGGTGATGAGTTTAGTTACTCAGTCTCCTTTTTATAAACACTGCCCGAGCCTGGGCATGGCTTGAGGGACAGGAATGATGGCCCTGTGTTTTTCTCTCTGTGAACAGAAAGCGAAACGACTGATAGTGTGCCCAGCGATGAAGAGAGCGCTGAGGTAAGCCGCTGCCCTGACCGCCTACGATTCTGCCGAGGAAAAGCCTCCCCACCAGCTCCGGGCTTTTCTTGCTGCTGGTTACACACCTTTCCTTTAGATCACAAGCTTCACTTTGGGATTTTCTTGTGTGGTGAAATATGCATCACCTAAAATTTACCATACTTTTGGGTTTGGGGTTATAAAATTCGATGTTGGAACTGAATGGGAGGAAAGGGAGTTAAATGTTACCATCAGGTAGAGAAGCTGTGATGGCAGGAAAAGGGAATGAAGTGGAGGCCAGGAAATGCTGATGCTCTTACCACTTAAACATCCTACTTCACTGGCAAAAATAGAACAGCCTTCCCAGCCAAAAGCAGTGACCAGTACACGTCAGAAAATGCTAAGCAAAAGCCTCTTCCACGTGTGCGTGGGTTCCCTCCCTCTGTGACCCATGCCCAGAGCTGGTTGTGTGCCCCATCTTGATTCCGAGTGGGTCCCATCCCCTCTCCCTCCCGTAGATGGGGCATGCACAATGGCAGAGAGTGGCTAGAATGGAGATGGAAAGCATTCCTGCTGGCCACCTGCTGGGGGTCTGTGCTTGAGTGAATGAGAGAGAGCAAGAGGGAAGGAGAAAGAGAGAGGGAAGCTCATGGTTGTTTGAATTAGTGGTTTCCCATGTACTAAACACTTTCAGAAAAAGTGCAGGCATTCTGAAAAGACAGATGTACACACTCACATACACCCTGGCCTGATTTCTTCAAGGTTGCAGGTCTAGTCCCTTCTCTGAATGAAACCAGCCCTTCATTCAGAGCTCCACACTGTGGAGCTCTAAACCACCCCCATTTGAAAGCAGTCAAGGGGCATACATTGCAAATCACTAAGTTCCTCACTACCTTTTCTCTGCAAATGCAGGTTGGCTCAGGTTGACTGGGCCAGCTCTGAGGGACTGAGTCACTGTGCCACACTGGCTGTGGTGACATGAAACCTATCGAGTAATCGGGCCGAGCGGCAGAGCATACGGGAACCAGAAACCAAGCTGCTGCCTTCTTTTCTTGCCTTCATAGAGTAGTCTGGAAAGTATTTCTGGGAGGTAGCAAATGGGAATTGATTTAAAAAAAAAAAAAAAGAAAAGGGAAGAAAAACCATTACTTGGCATGTGAATAGCTGGGTGCAATAGATTTCACTTGAAGGATATAGAAGTGCTAAGCCTTTGTTCGTTCTGCAGTTCTTAAAAAATTCAGCTAAAGCACTAACACATGGAAACAGTGACACATTTTTCATTTTTAAATTTTATTTGTGGGTTGCTGTTTTGAGACAAGGTCTCATTCTGTTGCCCAGGCTGGAGTGCAGTGGTGTACCAGCACTTTGGGAGGGCTTGAGGGCCTGGAGATCCACTTAAGCTCAGAGTTGAAACCAGCTCCGGCAAATGTAGTGAGTCCTCCATCTCTACAAAACATATTAAGTTAGGCATGGTGTGCACACTTGTAGCCCCCAGCACTCGGAGGCGTAAAGGTGAGGATCACTGGAGGCCCAGGAAATCAAGGCTTCACAGTGAGCTATGAT